CAGGAGCAGACAGCAGACCTCAGAACAAAGGAAAACATCAGGGATACAGAGGGGCATTACATACTAAGACGACATAACCCCAAACGTGCCTGTACCTAACCCTGAAACACACAGGTGAGAACTAACAGAACTCCCAAGGAGAAATAGGCAACATTGGTACTGATGAGATGGACTTCAGCAGCCAAAATAGACAATCCAGCAGTAGGGGATCAACAGGGACAGATAGCTGGTCACCTCCCCATGAGCCTGGACCCCAGCCATGCACGATCTCACGACTCGGCCTACTGCCCTGCAAAGCCTTCATGACCACAGAGTTCTTTCTACTTGTGTACTCCTCTCCACTAGGATACATCCTTGATTAGAACAGAATTTTATTTGATACTACAGCCTTGAAAGTTACAAGACTGCCTAACACATAGCGAATCAAAGTATCTGTTGACATAATGATGGCAAAAAATTAGGTAATGATCTGATTAGAGAATTCAAGAGCTGTTTGGAAGGGACAAGGAAATACACCTCAGTACTGGAAGGTGCTAGTGACCCCTAACTATGGCACACGAGCAGATCCAACATATGGAGTCCAGAGTCAGGGAACTCCCAGCATCCACAGGTTATGGAGGCTGCGGTCGTCCTGCTTCAGCCAAGGTCCTCTGTCCAAATTGAGGTATTGAATGTCCTCCACCACCTAAGGAAGGAAGGGTTCGATTTAAACGGGCAGCCGCACTTTAGGGATTTGAATGAGGTCACATGGTAGGTTACGAGTATCTGGCACACACCAAATTCAAAGAGAATGTTATGGTCGTAACCCCAAGAAGTGACAGTATGGCACCATTCCAGGACCGGGCAGTGCAGAGCTCACTGTGCAGCCTGGAGGACAGGGTGGAAAAGGAATCCAGGAAGTTTGTGAGCGGGGTGGGCTACCTGCCTCTTCCCAGCCAGGCTCACTCTATCTAGAAGGCAAGGCTGAGCCTCAAAAGTGCGGGATCCGGGAGACATGACATTTGGGCTCCCTGCTCCGGGCTGGCCTCCAGAGAGGCAGCCTTCCCATCCTTTCCCAAGACACCCACCACTGACCTCTCTCTTGTTCCAAGAATGCAAGCACACTTAGTAAGGGACTCAGAAGTCTTAGATACAAAATGCATGATTCCTCCAAGATGCATGCCTTCTAAACAGTCTGTCAAGAGGCACAAAAATAATCCAAAACAAAAAACACACACAAAAAAACCAAATCACCAAACAAACCCCCAAAACCCCAGCATTACAGAGACAGGGTGGCAAGGGAGTAAAATGTAATTCACTCAGTCCAAGGAGAACAAGCCAAGGTCTCCAAAGAATTCCCACAGCAGGATGCAGCACCCTTTTGGAGCAGGCTCCATCGGAAAGGAGAAGCCTGCCCCCTGCTGGAAGAGCTCGGCCTGCCCTGGCTCCTGGCTCCTGTGAGGCCGCCAGGTGCCTTGTTGTTCCACTCTGTTCTGGATCTGCAAGCTCCTGCCTGCAACCACTTCGGACTCCAGTTTCTGCGCCTTTTGCTGCGTCGAAGGTTTTTTAGTAATTTATGCTCATCTATAATACAGACCTTGTGCCATTATCAAATGGACATTCAGTTGCCTCCCTATCATTTAAGAAACAATCCATTTCCCCCACTTCATTTTTTACTCTCTTTAAAAGGAACTGACTTTGCCAAGCTTAAACACACGCAGCCCTGCTTCTAACCTGTTTTGTTCTTCTAGGACGTTTCTTAATTCTTGCACTGATACCACAGTGCTTTTATGGCTGTATTTCCTAATATACTTTTGTATTTGGGAGGGCAAAGGTCCTGAATTATTTATTCTTTCTCAGAAATTTTGGCACTGAGACTGACTGGAATTTCACCAAATGCACAGACTTGAGAAAGAAAAGCCATTCTCTTTTAAATAAGTAAATCCTTCCCATTAATTAATCCAGGTTTAGAATTTATCACCTAGCCGTGTTTTCTAATGCTTCCAAAAGAGTAGAAATGCCCATGAGCCATTAGCCATGGAATAGGCAAATACTCTCTTCAAAGAATATCTTACTCTGAAGCCCACTGTATATATCATATACATGCAAAACTGTTCTGCTTGAAACATAATTTGGGAACCTGGATTCCATTCCAGCCCACGTCAGTCCTGGGCATAAAATCCGGGGACCTGCAGATTCCCACATCTAGTCCAACTCATTAGTTATGGTCATGTTGTACAGAAACATGTACACACAACCCAGTATCTCTTCAGTGCTCTCCTACCAGTAGACAGTGGTCATCCCATCTAGCGGTGTTCCTGTATCATTACATGAAAGGAAGCCTGGATACACCTGTGTATGACCCCACACCAAATAGAAAAAAGTTTTGAAGATAACCCACACCTGTAGACCAGCTGCGAATGGAACATACAAAAAATTCAATGAAGTTGCCTCTCCTCCATTGCACTAGCTCAATAGAAATAAATTTAAACGTCAATGAAATGAAATATAACTCAGCCATAAAGAATGAGAAATTAGATTCATTGGTAGGAAAATGTATATGTATTGAGGATATACTCCTAAGTGAAATAAGTCAGTCATACAGGCGTAAATACCAAAGAGTTTCTCTGGTGTGAATAAACTTTTACAGTACATAAGATCCTAATGATATCATGGACAATGTGAAATAGGAAGAAAAGGGCTAAAGGTGCAGGGAAAGTAAGAAGGGTAGGGGAAAGCTAGTGAGGGAAAAGGAAATAGGAGAAAATGAAAACTGGAAAGAAAGTGTTCCTAAAAGGGGAGGGGAGGAGGTGCTGAAGGGAGGCCCTGGAGAGAGGGGAAAAAGGAGAACCAAGACCTGTCACGTAAAGGTACAAGATCCCAATAATGAACGTAACTGTACTACATGACCCAAAGTGTACCAATAAACTCAATGGGGAAAAAATATATATTTATCTGTGTGTTGACACAAACAATGCCCACAAACACAGGCATCGCTATAACAGTACAGCTACAGGAATGCGTAGAAGGTAGTTATGGGACAGAAACTGGTGACTCTAGGAGAACTGTTCTTTGTGCTTTTCTTTCAAATTTGCTGTAGGATTGAATATGCTAAATATGTTACAATTTTAAAATTTTGTCGAACACTGCAAAAACTAATAAGCAAATACTACACCATAGCCAAGACAAGCACATGTCCTGGCTTTGCCTTTCTTAACAGAGACTTTTCTCCTAATCTACCCTTACTCTGAGAGAATGGCTCTTTGAGGTTTCTGCTTTACATGGGAGGTTTTCCTAAGACGCTTGGGTTTTTCAAAAATGTCTTCCACCTCTGAGGTTTGTGCTTCCACTTTATGTTTGGCCTTGGGTTTCTTGCCAGATCCATAATTCATCTAAATTCAAAACTATCCTTAACCTCAAATTTTTGTTTTTTACCAAAAGGATCACCCCGGGCAATTCCTTCCATTTTCCTTCTGGAAGCAGAACTTGGGTAAATCTTATATGGAAGATCAATCCCAATGTTTTTCCGATTTCCTGCAGATAATAAAATCGCAGTGATGATATGAAGTTTTGAAAACATTTCGTTTCACACCTCTTATATACACATATATAATTATACAACAGTTATGATATATAAGAATGTATAGGTTCTAAAGCATAAATCCAACATGTTTACCTATAAATTACACAGTTGAAAATACAGTGTTCACGGTGCAAATGGTGTGCTATCAAACCAATCTTTTGCCCTACTCTGTAAAGCTTACCTATTAAAATTAATATAAATTTATATTTCTATATTCTGGGACAAGAAAAGACAAAGATAGACCAGATCATGAAAAAATACTTTCTCAGTAAGTAATAACCTTTGTAACAAGAGTGAAGATATAGTCCCGTTGAAAGGTGCTATACGTTTCTTTTTGAGTGTATGCTTTATTTGCTAGAATTTTCTTATCTAAGGAGATTACTAAAGCCAGTCTCTTTTATGATCTTTGTTTTATAGTACTGGGCTTCGGCTGATATCCTGGATGAGAATACTTAGGGAGGATGTCACACTCCCCATGACTTACACCTCGATTCAGGATAGACCTACCTTTCCCCTAGATCAATGTTACACCCTCAACTTCCCCACTTGCAAGAACATCACCCTGCATTGGTATTAAAGACATCAGGGGTAGGAGTGTAGCTCAGTGAGAGAACACTTGTCTAAGCATGCACAAGTCCCTGAGGATCACAAAAATGTAAGTTAAACAAAAAAGAAAAGCAATATTTGTTCTACAACAAGCAAATCATAACATTGCACGATGTCCTACAGTCCCTGATTATCAAAGAATAATTATCCTTTAGTGTCAATTACAGGTTGTAGGTAGAGGATATGTTTTCCTGGAACCATCCATGACTTGAGCAAGTCCACTAACCTACTTGCTCACCTGTGCGTTGTTCAATGTATCCACTTATTCCTGCAACACCTAGTGACTGCTGAGCAAGTCTAGTGTAGACAGCCTTTCTCCTGAGTTTGGAGCTAGGTTTTTGCTAAAAGTTATAAAGGCAATCAAAACACAAATTCTAGTTGTGGTATGAGCATTAAAATTTACTATAAGCCCTATTTTCTTTCTTTTTGAGGGTTGGTTGCCCTTTTCCTAAGGGGGGGGAATATATGTATATGTATACCAGTTCAACGATTGCCCAAAGCAATCTACATCTTCCTCTCACTTAAGACTCTGGATAATAACAGAATACACCCAATTATTAATGGAAATATCCGTACCTTACCCACTCCCCCAGAAAACACAAACTGTATGCCGGGTATTATCTTGCAGGTTTGCATTTATGTTTTTACCGAACAGCAATGCTACTGGCACCACGCGCCTCACATTATGACCAACATCTCAATCTTCTGACGACACTCCAGGGTAAGGAAAAGAGCCCTTAAAAGGCTTCCTGAGGTCACACAGTAATGGCCCCAGGATCAAAGCCTGACACACTCGTGTCTGGGATAACGTGTTGCAAAAACCCATGTTTTGAGAGTCAGCTTCAGGGCCACCATAAGAATATAAACCTAGAAATAAACCACACTGCTAACTGGAAGACACAATGTCAGAATCATCCTAGTGCTAGTTCTCTTTGACCCACACCAAGGACGAAAGCAACTTAAGGCCACACAGGTAAGAAGGCACCAGTCCTAGCTTTGAACTCTGGAGCTGCTCCCATGCTGCCTGTCCAGACCAGATACCGTGAGGCTTCTTTCACTGGACAGAGCCAGGCCACGAGGCACTATTCTGTGACCCCCATGGAAATAGCCCTTTTGGCAGGGGCAGTATGTCCTTTTTTTCATCTGCTAGGATTTTCTTAGGCAATGGCTTTCAGAAAGGGGAGAGAGAGAAAAAGCAAACAGTAGAAAATTGTTTTCGGTTGCCTATTATAATATGTTAGAAGGAAACCAAAAAATACGTTAGAAGGAAGAGGAAGCAAGTTACATTACAAACCAGAAATTCGTTCTTCTAGCTTCAGTTCACTTAGTTGACCCAGAAGCAGGTTTGACCTACTGACCACGCATCCCCCAAACCCTGTCAGCCGCAGAGCCAAAGGGCAAGGTCTGGGGGGTGGCAGGCCTGGCATTTTCTTTGAAAGGCGATTCAACAGTGGGGACTTTTACTTTCCTAGCTCCTCCAGTGCCAGTGATAACTGTCCCATCTATATTTCACTTCATTATTATGAAGACTAAATGAGATCAAATATAAGCCAGAGCTCCCTATCTGAATGAGATAATTAAAGTCAGTTGGTATTATGATGTGGGTGGGTTACAACGAGATAAAAAGTTACCGGACGCTTAGGCAGAAAAGAGCAAAGAATGGAGTGTGTGTACTCATGCGTATACAAACATGCATACATAAGAGCACAAGTATATATGCATAAATAAGTTGTGTCGTGCAAATAAAGGTGACAAAACTAGTCATGGTTTTGTAGGAAATCCCTGATGAAGTATGCTAAGGCAAGTCTGCAGGTCTCTGATTTCAGCTGCTTGGCCATCATATATTCAGATAGTGTTTATAAACTACTGCTGTGACCAAGACAAGAGCGGAAGTAGCCCTCCAAACACTAGCAGGACACCCAACAATCGACTTCCAATGGCACAGCCCACGGGACCTAAATCATATAGAAACTCAGCAACACTCACCCAATGCCCAAGTCTTAGGCCGATTCTCTGACCTCTGTGCCTAAATCACATAGAAACCCAACAACACTCACCCACCGGCACCAAACGCCCAACTGCGACCTCCGCGCCTAAATCACGTAGAAACCCAGCAACACTCACCCAACACCCAACGCCCAACGCCGACCTCCGTGCTTAAATCACGCAGAAACCCACCAACACTCACCCAACGCCGAAGTCTTAGGTTGATTCTCTGACCTCCGTGCCTGCATCACGAAGAAACCCAGCAACGCTCACCCAACGCCGAAGTCTTAGGCTGATTCTCCGACCTCCGTGCTGGCGCTCAGTAGAGATGTACTCGCTGAGTGCAAAGCCAGCACTTACCGGAGGAACAGCTAAAATAGCTCGGTGTGCCAAGACACCTCTGCTTTTATAACCATGCTTCACCCTGCGTAGCTGCGTCATACGACACTCATTTGCATACACCAATGACTTTTTCTATTGGTGGAGCTTTCCCGGACTTGCTTACGTGCACTGACGTGCTGAAATCCTCCGACACAAAGGCTGTGCTTCGGCCCTGTTCCCTGATTGGTGCATGTCTAGGCTGCCGATTGGCTGTTAAAGTTGCCTCATGATTGGATGGATGAAAAAGAAAACCGGACGAATCAGAGTTTAACATAAGCGGCTCTGCTGATTGGATGAAATGGAGCTCCGTTTGGATCCTTCCTTGGTTCCCAAGATCTACAATAGAAAGTCAAGGCAAATGAATTCCATTGGTACCTACCACAATTTAAGGAAGTCCGAGTGAACAGGGGTGTAAATTTATTCGGCTTTATTTTTTTATTTTGCTTTTCCTCATTGAGTTTATCTCTTATTACAACTCCTTCTTGCTTCTCTGGGATGGTGTCACCAAAAAATACAAACATAATATTTCTCTCTGCTTTGCCTGTCGTAGACAGGGCCATAGAGTTTATCTACTTTTAATTTTGTCAACTTGAAAGCCAGCTTTCCCAGCATCATTTATTTATTTTTATTTTTATTTTTTTTAATTTTATTGAGTTTATTGGTACATTTTAGGGATACAGTACAGTTACATTCATTGTTGGGATCATGTACCTTTACATGGCAAGTCTTGATTCTCATTTTTTCCCCTTACCTCTGCCCTCCCTTCACCCCCTCCTCCCTTCCCCATCTACAAACACTTTATTTTCATCTTTTCATTGAGGGTATCTTTCCTCTAGCGATGATGGTTGGTTCTTTTGTCAAAAATGAGGTAGCTAAGTATGTCTAGAGTTTTCTGCATCTTCTAATATATTCCACTGATCCTCGGGTCTGTATCTTTGCCAGTGCCATCCTGTTTTTAACAAATTGGTTTTGCAGTTTA